CTCCAGGATCATGACCTGAGCCGAAGGCAGTCGCTTAACCAACTGAGCCACCCAGGCGCCCCTTGCCATTCCCTCTCTTAAAAAAAAAAAAAAAAGAGTTGCATGCTCTACCAACTAAGCCAGACAGGTGCCCCTGGCCTCTTGGCATTTTGCAATACCTACCACCTCCACTTAGCCCTATAACAGTCCCGAGATGGATATATCTTGGCAACCTTTGGTGTCCAATGGGGATAATTGGAATGCTTATCTCACAGGATGTGAGGATTAAATAAAAGGATAAAGTAAAGCTCTTGAAACAGTGACTAGCACGTACTAAGTATTACCTAGTATTATTATAATGAAGCTAAATCCATTCAGGTTCTAAGGCCACCTTTGCCATCTCATAAGAATAGGGTTAAAGTTACATAACAGTAAATTGGGAGAAGGCAAAGGATAGCATCTTAATTAACCACCTTATCTAACAAAAGGTGGCTATAAAGATACCCTGATATCACCACAGATGCGGAGTAGCCTTATTCTCAAATAAGAATGTCTCAGGTGTAAAAAAAGTGCTAGTCATCATCAAAGTTCTAAGGAGAACAAAAGAGTGATGAATGCAAACAAAAGCCTGGGACAGGATTAGGGCTCCTACTTCAGTGGAACATCAGGATAACTCACTCTCACTGTGTCTGAGTATACCGTTTTTCTTTCCTACTGAAGAGAAAAGTCCTGGTAAGAAGTGACTGACCACTATATAAAAGAATGGATTTTAATGTGATGAGTATCACCTTATCTAATTTTTACACTGTAATCTTGTCTTTGTAATATATGCTGGGTGCTACAACATACTTACTGTTTTAAAGATGAGGAAAATGAGGCTCAGAGAAACTAAATCCCTAGCTTACCCAGGATCACGAAGGCATTAAGGATCAAGACCAGGATCTAAACCAAGCTCTGGCTTCATACACTCTTTCTCTATACCAAGGAACCGTACTTTTTGTTGGCTTCCTTCCCTGACTTCATTATTTTTGTCAACAATCAACAGCATGAATCATTTATTTATGATTGCCCTCATTAAGGCCATTCTTCTCACTCATTTAGGTAAAGATGTTAATGTTTTTTTTTATTAGCACGAAGAGAAAATTGTTAACAAGAGTTTTGTTCCTAATTGAAATGATTCTCAAGATGACAAGATTGGAAAACATTAAGCCCGGCTTAATATAAAGGCCCACAAGCGAAGTTTGTGAGGATGTTTCAATATAACCGTAAAGAAATTGATTTTTTTTCCTCCTTCTCACTACTTATATTCATCCTTCATTTGGCTTCATCACTGTCAGTCCTGACAAAAACAATAATTTACACATAGATAACGTCAAGAACTTTGTTGTGCAATGCGGTAGCCACTAGCCACATGTGCCTACTGAGCACTTGAAATGTGCCTAATTCCAACGGAGACATGCTGAAGGTGTAAAATACACAGTGGATTTTGATTAGTACCAAAAAAGGAAAAACATCTCATTAATATTTTTGTGTTAGTTATATGCTGAAATGCTACCATTTTGGAGAAATTGAGGTAAGTAAAATAGATCATTAAAAATAATTTCACCTGTTTCTTTACTCATTAACGTGGCTTCTAGAAAATTTGTAATTACATAAGTAGCTTGTATTTGTGTTCACACTGTATTTTTATTGGACAGAACTAGTGGGCGACGAAAAAGAGGGGAATTTCATTGAAAGGTAGTGCATTTTCAGAACCTTTCTGGACGGGAAGAGAAAAGGGAGAAGACTGAAGCCTGGGCACAGTAGGTGGAATAAATACCTGATGTGAATTGCAAAAGGGGCGGGAAAGGGGGCTGCATTTTTGACTGTGTTCCTCCCTCCCTCCTCCGTGGCCGACGAGGCCGGTGGCAGAGCTTCTCCCGGAGCCCTCCTTCCGGACCAGTCCTCCCGCCAGTCCTCCGGCCGGCCGGCGCAGGGTCATTGAACACACCTGCGCGCCCACGGAGGTGCGCGTCCGCGAACCCTGGCGCTGCCTCCACGCCCCCTCCCCCCGTATTTTTATTTTCCTGGCATCAACCGTCAGTCTCGCACTTCTCTCCTGAGAACCACCGCGTAGGTCGGGCCCGCCTGGGGTAAGCGCCCCTCTCTGCCCTCGGCCCGGCCGTGGGGAACGAAATGCACCCCCCCCCGCCCGGCCCCCGCAGCAAGCAGGGCTGTCTGGCGGCCGGGACGCCGCTTCCCGGG